GAGCCATATTGATTTTCCCTGTTCACATCTTGTTACATATGCAAATAGCCAATTTAATATTATGAAAGTAAGAAGTTTGCATTTAGAAGTACATGTAAGAACATTACCACAATTCTTACTAGGTTAAGATTTATATTTATGTCGTGAATTCCACTCCATATCCATTGACATATCCTGGGGCTATATTATTGTCGACACACATTGTTGAAGGGTGTGCGTCAATAGAGTGATTACAACTTCGTGCTGTAGAAAAAGAGAGGGGATTTTGACATATTAAGCAATGTTACGTTGACTCGTATTATTATTTTCTCCTAATTTACACAGTATACACACATGACTTCGATAGAATGGAAATCAATAAATCGAAATTACTGGAATGTTTATAGTACTATCAATACAATGCCCATCTATACATTGACATTGTAGGCCTGTGGATCAACCTGGTAGCTTTGACCGTTAAAGATGACACAGTATAAATGAAATGAAATGAGGTTTAACGTCCTAACTTTCTGAACCAACTGGGCTAATGAAGACGGACATACGCCGTACAGTGTGCTAATGGGGAAATTTTGCCCGGGAAACGCCATAATTACCGCCTACTCTTCAATTGAATTGTCAATAGTTCTTTTATGTGCACGCCCACGTGACCACAGAACCTCCATTCTGTCCCATCAAGAAGATGTCCAATGCAGGACCAGGAAAAACAAGCTGGAAAATCTTCATGAACATTCTCAGCCAACGCAGGGATCGATAGCCGAATCTTTTAGCTTGTGAGCAAGCGCCTTATCCATGGGTCACCGTTGCTCCCATTTTAAAGTTTATTAAAAACCATAAAATGCCCGACTGGTCTTGTAATTGCCTGTATTTAGAATAACCGAGCTGGTTTATGTTCGTGACATTTATATCTTGATCTCCAGCATCTGATTTCGAGACGTGTTTTATTTTGACAAAGGATTGAGTGGGTGTCAGTCGTCAGTCGCTGATAACTATATATATAGTTTAGATACACCCCAATATATATGTATATGATGTGATCTATTATATATCGCTTGATATTATCTAACAAAATTGTAGGTTTTAATACGCACTAATCGGTCTTGCAAATTTTAATTTAAATGTAAGTTCGGGTTGAAAACGTAAGTTGTGATCGGTAGAAATTGTAGCATAGTAATAAGTCTAAAGAGAGAGAGAGAGAGAGGGAGAGAGAGAGAGGGGGGGTTAACGTCCACTCGACACAAACTAGGTCATTTCGGGACCAACAAATGGTTCAATTTTATTTCAATAATTCGCTTGCACGTAGCTGGCTAGCAGTTGGGGGAAACCGGAGGATCCGGAGAAAATCCACGAGGTTGGACAGGTGACCCAAAACCTTGTCACGTACAACCGGGGAATCTAAACCACGCCAGTGGGTGTAGGCCTATTTATTTTGCTGAAATCACTGTTGTAGAACATTGTAGGGCTTGAAAAGTTACGACATTAAATGACAAATGTCAATCAAATTGATTCAAATTCAACTGCTGTTGGGCAATTAGACAATCAGTATCAATTTACAATGAATATAAATCATGAGGAAAAATCAATACACATATTCTTACCAGTTAGCCGAATAATGTGGTTTGTTCATTTATGCACCTCATCTGCATTAAAAATAATTAATTAAGATATAGTACTTGGTAATATTTTGGAAAATTTTACACGTCTTTTAAGTGTATACATATTCTATACTTGAAGCGTTATGAAGAAATGTTTTAAGATTATAATACATGATAATATTCAGGAAGACTTATATTCGTTATGAGTAAACACTCTAAAATGAGTTATATCTGTGTTATTAATGCAATTTACTCAGTATTTAAAAAAAAACCCCACCCAAGTTGGAGTACACAAACACTTTGGTAACACAAGATACGGTGTAAAACTGACATCTTATTCGGAGGAACGTTTCCCTTATACTAATTACACCTGTTGGTGTTAATGCAATACAATGTTTGTAGAGGTGTAGTTCATCCCTTTAGCGGCTACAATTACACATAAATTATGCTCGTGTTCAGTACTCATGAATATCGATTACACTTGAAACCCAATAAATGGTGTAAAATTAACACTTGTAGGATATATCCCCCATTAATAACTACACCCTTTGGTGTAGATGTAGTATAACACTGGTAGTTGTGTATAGCTTATCAAAAAAAAAAAAAAAAAAAACAACCCACAATTACACATATGCAGGTGTTCTTAATTAACACTGGGTATAGTTTTTAATTAGACTCATGTAATTTAAAATATTATATGCAGCAAAATTCTCGAACATAAAAATATTATATGCAGCAAAATTCTCGAATATAAAAATTTCTTAAGTTTAAACAGTCTTTCAAAAAGATATCAACTTTGAAAAATCAACAAAACAATATTCTCAGATGGAATTTTCTTGCATATATGGGACTTTTTAAATATGTCTTGATGGTCTTGTGTGAAAATAAAGATAATTTTAAAGCGAGAATTTCATATTTTCTAAGAAAGTAAAAACATAATTATTTCTATGCCTTTTGCTCAATAGGTTGTCAACTCACTATTATACGATCATAGGTTATCTTTCTCACAGTTAAAAATCTTCACACCGGAAATAGTACTACAATTACCTCCCAATTACTTCTTTGTTTTCCTATTTCCCACCATGGAATAGCTATCTTCAAACGCTTGAATTTGAAGTTGAAAATGATATTTTTGCCAATTTCTCAACTGGCAATAGTGAATTGTAGGATTAATAGGATTATTCTTTAACAAGGTAGGACTGTTTATAGATACCATCTATTTTAGGGCTTTATTTTAATACATTTTAAAAATATAACTTAAAAATATGAAATTGTAACTTGAAGACACCGATTCCAGAAGGACTTTGGGTGGTGTATTTTCTACTCCGTGCAATCTGTGGTTTGACGCTACATTAAGTTACGATATTCTTTATCGTTTTTCTGCATCTTTAAAACTGAACCGAAGCAAGATCCCCACTGTAGTGGCATCGGTAACTAATTTGCAAATCTATATTTTCAAAAATACTATTACATAATTATTGTAATCCTTATATGACCTTTGATATTTTGTTCCGGTTTTTCTTGGACAGATAGTAACAAGGTCGAGAGCAAACCAGCTGTGGTGGACTATATTTTGTGAAAGGGTAAAGAGATGCTTAAAATTGGATCCATTTTGGTAATGATGCCATTATAGAGTATGCATAGTATATGAAATAAGCATAGCCTACATGGAGTCAAGACCAAGGCAAAAAAAAAAAAAATAAAAAAATAAAAGTAGTGATTCTAAATATATAATTCATCATTTCATAGGGCGTTCCCCGTCCTCTGTGAATTTTAACACAGCAACAGGAAATTATAATTAAGGGAAATATTAACCGTTATTGGAGGTGGGCTGATAAATAATTTGGGGTTATAAAATATAAACAGCGCCAGGTTTAATCTGTGTTTTGAAAGAATACGAAGATGGAATTTTCTCAATACATATTTAAACTTTGTATTAGGAAGACACACTGCTGCCTCCTAGCCCCACTCCACCCCCGCGACAAAAGAGGCGGTGGTGTGTACGTATACCCTGCGCTTTCGGCGCCTCTGAGTCTGTATTGGAACTATTTTATTTCAGAAGTTTAAATAATTTCGTATGATTTTGCACACTGACTGATAATAAAATCGTGATAATGTGTAGGCCTATATACATATCTCCTTTGTCTACAATCGTTGTTTCGTTGGGTAAGGTCTGCGTTACGACAAACTGTAAAAAGAACGTTACTCCCTTTATTCAGTTCATAGAACTAATAAAAAGTGCCGACATTTCTAAGAACCTAACATTTTCTACTACTTTTGGTTTTGTTTTTGTTTTTCACTTATATAACGGTTAGTCGACTACTCAGCTAGTGACTGAAGGGCAGCGACTGATTTCAATATTTTTCAGTTTTATATAATATATAATTACAGGCTATAAACTGAATAAAAGATATACGCCCAACGGCCCGCCTAAAATTATAACGTGTAAAAATTCATATTCTTAAATTGGCGAAACATTTCCCACCAAACATTTTCTAGCTAATTCAACTTAAATGAAACATCTTAATATTTTTCAATTTTATGTAATAGATAATTATATAAATTGAATAAAAGATAGCCCTATATATACGATACACCCAGGAACCCAACCAAAAGCATAGCGTGTAAAAGTTTATATCCGTAAATTGGCGAAACATTTCCGACCAAACATTTTCTAGCTTAAACTAATTCAACTTAAATGAAAGATTTTAATATTTTTCAATTTTATGTAATAGATAATTATACAAATTGAATAAAAGATAACCCTACCTACACGCCCAGCGGTCCAACCAAGTTCATTTTCTTAAATTAGCGAAACATTTTCCACCAAACATTTTCTAGGCTGATTTCAATATTTTTCAATTGTATATAATAATATTATTATAGGCTATCAATTGAATAAAAGATAACCCTATCTACACACTACACGCCCAGCGGACCAACCCAAAATTGCATGTAAAAAGTTCATAATCTTTTAAAATTAGCGAAAAATTCGACAATAATAAATATTTTATATCAAAACCTATGATTACGAAGAAGCTTCTTCAGTAATACAGCGATTTTGGCTGGGGTGCTATTTTTTGCCAAGATTAATCTAAATTTAATAATGACCATTATTATATTGACACTTGTGCAGTCAACTCAGATTAACACCACTGATGACCGTCTTCAGTTCGGCCCGCTTACTGTTACATTGAAATGTGTATTATAAACAGTAAAAGGGCGATAACTTCGTACGATTGGTGGTTATTTTTATCCCATGAATGGCGATCTATGAAAAGATGGCAAAACTTGCCGCGGAACCGGTTTGACGACTATTTCTTAACAATCAAATCCCATTGAAGCGCAACCAAAATAGAATAGCTGCGCGGCCCTGTGTTATGATATATATATCACTACTGTTATAACGGTGTTCATAAGGTGTGGTGTTGAAACAGCGATCACAAGAATCGCCAATAACACGGACTAAAAACAGGAACCTTTCGAATAATATTTGCATGTACCTATAAAATAAAGTAAGTAGGGTGGTAATTTTATTTATTTTTTGTTGACAAAATCCATAATTGCGAGAATATGAAATAGTTCTACATGCTGCCTAGATATTGATTGTTCTTGTTCCACCCAAAAATTGTGTCTCGGCATGTTCACACGCTTAGGCTTACAGGTAACTCAAATAAAGGCGTAAGACTTTTACAGTTGAAGAACAACGGTGGTGGTTTTAAAGAGTTTGCAATGCTGATAATCTGAACTAAACATGTTTAAACATAGAATAAATATTGATCTGTTTGGGTTTGTTTAGAGAATTATTTGCATAATAGGTAAAAATCTGATTAACTCCAATTGTAAGTATCCACTAAATAAAATACAATCACCTACAATCAGTGGTTAATTGTTAACAAGATATTAAGAACACCTTAATTAAATTGTAAATTTTATATTGATATTTTTTTTAAAAAAAAGATTATCACGCCATACCAAAAAGCTAAGGCAGGCCTATATTTCGTTATATAGAAAATCTTTGGCCTAATAATGCTTCTATTATAAAGAAAAATAAAACTTATAATCATATCTTTTTCAAGGAAAAAATTTAAATTGAATTATTTGATGTTTTAACTTTCATTGATTTTAGCAGGACTAAGTATGATATGTAATAGGGTGTTGTCTTTCCATTATTAGAATATACTTGCCAACCATTCACTTACGGTGGAATTTTAAACTTTTCATTAAAATCCATGGGAGGGGCATCAGAATGAAGTGATTGCAACAGTGTCAGTAATGTGGGGTGTGGTTGGGTAGGTAGTTGGGCATGCTCCACCTAATTGATTTTGATTCCTTGGTACTTTCTGTGACTTGCGATTCATCAAGAATGAAGTGATTGCAACAAGGTCAGTAATATGGGGCGGGGTTTGATAGGAGGGCATGCTCCCCCATAATTTTGTTTAAATCTCGGGTGCATTTGGTGACTTGTGATTCAGGGGAACTTTTTTTCCGCCCCGATTTATATATTTTGGAAAAGCCATGTTTTTTTTTTTTAAAAAAAACGGGGGACTAGCCTGATTGTGATAATTAAATGGTACCTGGATCACAAATCAAAAAATGTCCATTACAAAACTATAAGATAGCAAGTTAAATAATAAGTGGAAGAATCCATACAATATTTCCTGTCTGGATGGAATTTTAATGTGTAGGTGCATGATGGGTGGATATGGAAGGTGTGGCTTAGATCTGAATTGAACGGTGTATTGAATACCGTCTTAATTTCAGTTTAAAAGTAAAATTTAGCCTCAGAGTTGCCTGAAAGAGAAGTTGAACTCGTAGTGTAGCCCGAATCCAGCAGATTTATTCCAATGCATCTAAAACTGACCGTTTGAACACACAAAATGCTTGGTTGCATTTTAGTTTAACTTTCTCGCAAGCCTCCTGCCTCCCATTCCTATACATGTTGATGCAGGTCAATTTCAGGGTACATGTAATTTAAAAATGTATGAAAATATATGATTAATTTTGCAATGATTAGAACATCAGAATTATCAAGTTTTATATTAAAAATTTTGTTATCGTATTAGTGGTTACCATGGCAAAACTATTAAATTCTGAAAACTGACCCACCCTTTATGTTCACAACACATTAAGCAGATTTTGAGATGAACAATAAAAGAATACAGCTGATCTGGTGGCCCATGCATATCCACATTCCACTAGGGATGACATCCATAGAAACCATTTTAATGCTTTGTCTGACCTGTTGTAAGGCCAAACATAATTTGTACTACTTGTATGATTTACAAAGAAAATTTTGAGGTTATTGTTAGGTTGTCCAATAATCAAATATGAGTTTTAAAACATTTTCAACTAATGATTTGAAGCTTAATGTGACCTTATTTGTTAACAAAAAATATGGGAAAATGACGATGAACAATATCTCTATCTCCTTTTAAAAACAGACCATCTTAGCTGGACCATGGTCTATACTTATAATTTCATTACCGTTCCTTAAGACTACTGTCCAGGACCCTGGATAATTTTAAAACAACATATCATATATATAATATACTTCAAATTCTTTACTCCTTGATATGCATGATGTTAGGTATATATTAGCCTCAGTTTATTTTCAAGAGGACACACCTAATTGGCAGTAAGGGTTATTATATGATATCTTGCTGTTTTTTGACACTCCGAGCCAATAACATATACCATATAAAAAAATCTAGAAACTTTATCTGGTAGGATGAGTCCTGTAAGCTATTGCTTAGCCTTTGTGTGAAAAAATTGACTATTTACACAATATTTTCTTCTACAAAAGTCAACATTTGTTCCCTTCAATGGTTTAACCCACGTGAAATGCCCACATAGTACATTTATGTGTCATGTCTGACTGTTTGTTGATATATAGAGATGGACAGCAGACATTTCTGGATAACGTTAGAAAATATATTCTAATAAATTTCTGTTCAATTTTATCCAAAACAATATCGTAAATAATTGATGTGGATCTCTAATGATTGACCATTCCTGGTTGTTTTGGACAATTTTGTGCTTGGCGTGTTTAATAAAGATGAATATGAATCCACTGCTCCATTCTTTCACATCAAATTTAAAATTCAATCCCCAAGGCCACAGTATATGAATATGATGTCGTGAACTCGCTAGATGAATTGTCTAAATCACAACGAAACTATGAAACACACCCTAATTTTACTTGTTTGTATTGCATTGTTTAAAACCAGTAGAAATAAGAAACTTTCTAAAATAAATGAATATTTCTCATGAATCTCCTGTCCTAAATTGGATAATTGTCAATGGCAGTAAAAAGCAAAAAAAAAACTTATTATGACTCTGTAGGATGATTTTATTTGATGAGGTAGTGTGTTTGTCATTAAAGATGCATTATGTAATGGCTAAATCTGCCTATTGCAGGTTATTATTTGGACATTTAATCACATGACCAGTCCATAATCAACTCTCTAGACAATCGGATGGCTGAGATATTTCTTTATTATCGTAGCAATGGTACTTGAGACTATTTACGCAGTTTCTTGTCCAAAACTACAAACATTCATAACTTCGCCCAGAATAAAGTAATGTCACTGAAATTTTCAGTATATTCATTTTTCATTATCTGTTATTTTCAATATATTAATTTTTCATTATCTATTATTTAACTATAATAGCTCTTTATCTAAATCTTAGATTATTAATCTTTAAGGGAGGTTTGAACTCAATATTTGAGTCATAAATTCAACACAGCCCTAAATACAATATATAATATTTATTGAATTATGTAATATGTTTAGAGCTATTCAAAACTTATTTCTATGTGAATGAGATATTTTATAATAAATATAATAATAGGCCAGGGAGTGTACCGACTACTGTAAGAACAAGTCTAGCAAGTTGTGTAGTTTAGTGGGAGCCCGCTATTGTATTCTTTGAATGCATGACTGCATCATACAAAAGCTAGGTATAATATATGTACTATCAGGGCTGGGTCTTCTCAACCCTTCTTACAACAATCCTTAGAAAGACTTATAAAAATGGCAATAAGAAATGAAATTCCTTCTGGGTACAATTTTTTGTAGAACTTTGTCACAAGTGTTGGCTAATATTTAATACGTAAATAACCTCATAGTTTTTTTTTCTTGAACATTTATATAACATTATTCAGTAAGACAATATGAGGGGATTTTTGAGACTATAATAATTTTTCTCTCTGTATTTTAGATATATGTTAGAACTTGTAACTTAAAAAAATCATTATTCAGTAAGACAATATGAGGGGATTTTTTGAGACTATAATAATGTTTCCCTCTGTATTTTAGATATATGTTAGAACTTGTAACTTACAAAACTTGGAAACTAGTTTTAAATTTGTCTTTGTTATTGATGATTCAATTTTTTTTTTACTTTGAAATGATTAGTAGATTACATTTGTTTTAAGTATTATAATTTTGTGATTTGATATAGTTTTGTTATGACATATACACAAATAGATAAAATAGAATGAGAAAATATTGATAGTTCGCACTGATGTTTGTTTTTAATGTCATATTTTCTTATTCTATTTTATCTATTCGTATATATGCTTGATAACGACTTGTGAAATCTTGTTGAAATGTCGCAATGAAATAAACTGTAGTAATTGATATCCATAAATAGTGTTTTATTTTGCCTGAAACAATATCTTAGACTGTCTGATATATTTTGAGTAAATAGTATTCAAATATTGAATGCATTAAATCGTTAAGTTAATACTGGAGAAGATTTGCTGTAGTTTTGGAGGCAAATTATTGAAATAGAATTGTAGCATATGTACAGTGTCGAAATGACCTAGTTGATGTCAAGTGGATGTTAAAACCGATATACTTGGGTCTGTTCTCCCCAAAGATTTTTTATAAGCAGTTACAAAAACTATTCATTCCAGTTTTATCGATCAAAAAGTGATACGACGTATATGAGTTTACAATTTTTTATATTTCTCTTTCACAGAAAGATTTAACAAGATAAAGCACATTATGGGTACGTCCCCACCAATGGGACCGCTACTATTGCTAATAGTAATAGCTATTAGTATAAGACAATCAGACGGATGTAAGTATAACTATAATAAACTTTTAATGTCATTAAAAATGCTTGTAAACATCCATTATATAATCAGTCAAAATTCTCATTCTTGTAATTGAAGTAGATAATATCATGGTTATGAACATCAGACTAGAAAACTTTCACAGACAAAATTAAAGGGTATATAATATTGTCTGTGATATCACTCTCTGTGTTCATTCAGATTGATGTCATCAACACATTTTGAGGCTAATATATTTTAATTTTGATATCTATGGTGATGTGTGGGGTACTTGTAGGAAAGTTTTACTCGGACAACGACGTTTCCATGTTTATTTCCAACATGTTATGTGCACACTAAAGTGTACATGGATGTACTTCGATTTAACATCCCTTCTGAACAACTAGATACACTTTTCCTTATCATCCCAGGCGGCTCTTGCAAACAGTTTAATGACAAAATTCATCATTCGATCAACTTGAAATTGATGTAAATATGAAACTTATTGTTAACTTTATGATTATTGCTGTATAGTTATTCATCCGGATTTCCCGGCATTGGTCCCCCTTGTCAGTGATGCAGGACGGAGGGCCTGACAAGGACAGCTGTCTAGTCATTCGGATGAGATGAAAAACCGAGGTCCCGTGTACACATTGCCGTGCACGTAAAAGATCCCTTGACAGTTGGAATTTGATATAATAGTAGGCCGTAGTGCTGCTGTCCGGGCAAAATTACCCTCATAGCACACTGTATGGCGTATGCCTGTCTTCATTAGCCCAGTTCGGAGCAAAACAGTAAGACGTTAAACCCCATTTTATTTCATTTCATTTCATTTCAGTAATAGTTAGACGTGTGGGATAAATTATATTTTTTTACAGGTTGACGGCCAATTAATAAGATTAAGTATAAAATAAATATTTATATTGCATCTTGTATAATGATGTTTGAACATGATGAATGACATGCACAAAACTGCATGTGTTTAGTTTGATTTTGTTGATTTTGTTTGATTGCAACATAATGAAATTCTAAAAATACAGATTATGTTGGGAATTACAATGAATGGTACCAGGCCGCCCCTTCTACAATGTCCAACTACAGTTACTCTAATTCACATCACCTGACATGTACAGCTGACTATTTCCAGTGTTACGATGATACATGTGTGTTACGATCCTGTATTTGTGACGGAGAGAGAGATTGTCCAGACGGTTCTGATGAAATAAATTGTGGTGCAAAAGGTTTTCCCCCCCAGACAAAAAATCTCTCTCTTTTTAAAATATTTCACCTCCTACAGAATGCCTTACTTTATATTTTACATCATGAATGATTACTAAACGTACGTAATGGCCATGGACAAAAACTCAATGGAATGTTTTTTATTGCATGTGGTAACTGTTTTACTGTTAGTTTTTAAACTTTGAAATATTGGGCTGCATGTACATAAAAGGTTGCATACTATGGTTAATTCATTAACCTTTATGTTTGAAATGGAATTTGCATGATGTTAAATTAACACTATATTGAAATGGGCTTCTATGACTGTTTTAACTTATTTTAAAATACATTTGATTCTCTGACTCTCATTTTTTGGCTTGACTTTCATTTTAAGAATTAAGGTGTGCATGTTGTACACTATATACGCTAATCAGACATGTGTTTACAAATTATAATATAAAACTTAGATTTGCACACCTGCAGTTAAGTTGCTTTCAATGGTAAGAGAATGATATCATCAATATCTGATATTCAGTACAGCATAATGTGAAACATAGCACAATGTGATATATAGCACAATGTGATATATATATATAGCATAATGTGATATATATATGTAGCATAATGTGATACAAGAATAATCAGTGGTAATCCAACACCTAATATGGTAAAAATGTAGAATTGTGATCCATGTTTTTTTCAACTTTGACTGTGTTCTTGTAAAGAGTTTTATTATTTTGTTTTATTATTACGAAGCAGAATTTTATGTGTAAGCCTTTAGAATAATTTGGACATGGTTTTAAAATTAATAGTAATTGTGTGAATCTTGGTGATTATTTCTAATTTTTACATGACTGATAGACATCCTGGGTTTAATTAAGAGAACCTTTCCTTGAATAATTGTGTAATCTCTAGAATTAATGTCCATGCATGTATATATTATATAAATTGCAATACCTTATTCCAGTATGCGACCTATTAACTACGGAACCATCATTTGCTGGCGGAACTATTCGTATATCAATCGAGGAAGCAGATACAGCCTTTGATAGTAAGTATGCAATTAATAATAATAATAATATCGTCATTTATAAAGTGTGTTAATACTAAAGAACAGTTTTTAAGGCGCTGAACATGTTCATCATTCACAAAAGTAAATTATTGTTCATAGTTTATTCAATTCTCTAGTTTGCAGATAAATCTCCTCTTTGAAATGCTTGGATATTCAGAAAGAGGAAAACATTTTTTATCAACTTTTGTTTTCCTTATATAATATAATGTTAAGGTTTATATTAATTCCTAACAAAATAAAGGAAAGGTGTATGTGATAATGGTCGGTTTTATGTTTGACATTGGACCAAATAAAGTTAAAGGGTGTACATGTATAGCTCTAAGCTTTGAGACATTAAAATAGACAAAAATGGGTCTATAGGAAAATATTAATGTAATATAAATGTACATAAATTGATTTATATTCAATTTTAAAGGAGCTAAGTCTCTAACTCAATATTTTCCATAATATTCGAAATTAAAAACACGAATTAGAATTCAATATTGATCAATTTCAACCTTTATTGATGTCGTTATCTTGCTGTGAAACTATAGGATCCTAATATCCAATATTTAAGACACAATCAACGTTTATAATCAGTACAGTAGTCGTGTACGGTATGGTTTCGGGTGCCATTTTGTAATGAACAAATAAATATACAGCCAACAACACAATGTGGAAGTAATTAGTAAAGGCTGATTCACAAATGACAAAATAATAATTTAAAAAACGTATAGAATGCACTAAGCAGGCTTAAACGACTGCTGTTCAATTTGAACTGTTTACATATTTTACCTGATGCTATATATAGGTTCCTACTGTCGTGCGATGTGTTACGATGGGATTGTTCCTATTAAGTCCACGATCTGGTACGTGAAAATACGTTTGGATATAATGATCAACATGATTGTCACGACTGACCTAAATATATGATAACCACGATTACTCCATGATTAAAACCACGATTTCAACCGTAGCGCGAATCGTGGTAGTTGGAACCAAGCATTACATACTTGATTAGAAATTACAATATTTTTTTCAAAAATTGAATATAAATCACTTTACATACATTCATATTAGGTTAACATGTGCTTTTAGGTTAAAAAAAAATAGAGCTATACGCCCTATAAAGTCTTTTATTGTAATTTCTAATTATTGTAAGAGTTATGTTCAGTGAAATACATAATAGTTATATTACAAAATCTTGTTTTTTAAACAATCAATGTGAAATTTACATCTGTTGCCTATTCAGCCATTTAAAAGGAAGGCTATCATCGGAATTTTAATTATGATCTGATCTTTTGGAAAATTTTATGAGTTGTTCATATAAGCTCATAACTGCATAGACAACATGGCTGCTGGTGGGATTATGTTTCGTTGTTAACAACCTTTTATATCCTTTTGCAGCTGACATAACAAAATATCGTGGATTTCTGGGGTTGATAGATCCTCAAAGCAGTGTTGTGTTGACATTAACACAAAAAGCAGGCCGTGAACCAGCCAAAATAGATCCTTCAGAGTTTGTGGTTGAACATCTCACCAATGCTGCTGTAGCAGGAGGAGGAACTCGAACAGGATTTTTCATCAGACCTTTAACACCTATAGACAGGGATGTAAGTTAATTGTATAATCATAATAACAATAGAAACTAGAACTGCAATGCCATGCTACCCTTTAACTGACGTTACTTACCGTACCAATGGAACCGTTAAACAGATTTTCAGATGAGCATTGCACATATCTTACAAAATGTAGGCCAAATAACAGTTCCATTTATACATCTGTTACATATGTCATAAAATAAACAGCAGCAAATGAAGACTCGACACAGTGACATGACTTTCGTTATCAAAAAAAATATTTAAATTAGATAACAGAAATAACCACTTTGGATGACAAAAAAATTGATTAAAAATTGAACATACTTAACCTTTATTAAAGCCCAATAAAAATTCTAAAAATCTTAAAAAATTATCCTAACAAAATTGATTAGACGTTTGAAACACCTTTTTGATATCTGTATGACGGTACTGATTTATACTATTTGTCCATTGGAATTAAATATCAGAATTTTATATTAATAATCAGTATCACTTACTTCAAAAAAAACATTTGTTTTGGAGGCTAAAAGTACAGTTTTTGCCAAAATGACGTTACTTCCGGTGATAATGAAAATATTAAATTAATTTTATGTAATCATAAATGGCATTAGGCTTCATATGGTGAAAAGTTTATGAAAATCGAATAATAATTGACACTTTTATGGACCAAAAAGCCTGAAAAGTGACTTGTAGAAAATTGTCTATTTCCCTGCAACTGAACAAATTAGAAAATCAAATAAAAACTGACATTTTTATGGACCAAAAACCTTGAAAAGTGACTTGTAGAAAATCGTCTTTTTCTCTGCAACTTAACAAGTTAGGAATAATTTCGTGATATGTATATGATCATATTCTTTTTATTTATCAGTTGATTTAAAGGGACTATCCCGGTTTGAAAAATAAAAGCCTGAGTATGTATGAAATTTTAACGCCAAAATATAGAGGAATGGTGTATTTACCTTGTCTCAAAATTTCAGCTCAAAATATTGAGTCGTTTGGACTTGAACGTCAAAACTTCTTATTCGGACATGTAACCCTTGTAAGATTTCGGGTCAATTTTTTCGTTGGTTGACCAGATAATCGATTCCCATTCCTTTAGACGTCTATACAATGAATGACCCATGTGCTTTACTTGATAACGAAAGGTAAATTTCACATACACATTATTTTTTATAAAATAAAAGTCTGGTTTTATCCAGACACAGCATAATACAGCTTGGGACACAGGTCTCCATTTCCAGATGAAGACTGACGGGTTTAAGTTGTTTGAAAACGTATAACTTATATTGAGTTTTTTGCTCGGTCTTAAGGTAGAGGATTCTAAGGGATTTTAACACAAAATTAAGCAGTTTTATTCTCCAAAAGATTATCCGGATTGGCCCTTTAAACTAAAAGTTAAAATGATCAAAACGTAGCAAATAATACTCAGTTGAAAAAATATTGATATTAAAGGTTAAAAATACAGTTTTTGACAAAATGGCATCTCTTCAGTGTCAATTTAAAATTGTAATCAATTTGATATGGCACATATTTCCATTTTACATCAAATGGTGTCAGTTTTATAAAAAAAACAACAATAATAATTGACTCTTTTACAGATAAAATAACGTAAAAAGTGACTAATGCAAAATTGCCTATTTCTAGGCAACTGCTCATATTACAAACTAATTTTGACATACATTTTCTTCCTATGGATTAAGGCTAAAAGTTTATAAAAGTTACAAGAAAATTTTACAAATATGAAAAGTTTGACAGGGTTGTATATAACTTAATTTCACACCTTTTTTCACCTTTTTTCATCGAAATGGCCCGAAAATTAAAATAGAAAAGATTGTATCGGAAATGTCAAATGGTTATGATAACTATGCTGCATTAAATCTGCATTAAATCAGCTCCATCATTATGCGTTGATTAAAAAATAATTAAGCATCACTTTTACATTTACCTTTATATTATATAAACTTTTTACTGTATGTAAACTTCACAGGGTGCCACTGTTTCGGCAAGTGATGATACCACAATTCTGGAGTATACACTGGAATGTACACCAACAGATACAGGTTCTGCTCAAGCGGTAAGTAGTTTTTCTGCATTACATTTAATCAGTTAATGTAACTATTTATTATGTACACAATCAATTTTCCAATGTACACTTGGTTCCTAGATGTTAGATTTTTTGGACCAGGGACTGGCTGGTCCCCAATACCTACTGGTATTCATCTTGTTATTGTTGTTACAGTCAACATAGACATGAAATCTGGCATGCTTCTTCCTTGGACAATTGTGCAGCGATTGACAGACTTTGATTTTTGATATGATGTCTGAATTCCAAGATGGCTGCAATGACGTCATGTTTCTTCCTTGGACAATTGTGCCACGATTGACAGACTTTGATTTTTGATATGATGTCTGAATTCCAAGATGGCTGCAATGACGTCATGCTTTGCTCCTAGTCTTATGTAGTAAACTTGAGGTACAATCCAAAAGCTGCCCTCCAGTATCAGTGTTTATTGATATTTTTAATACATGCAGCACAAACTTCAAAATGTCAGGGAGTGGGTACTTGTTCAGTAGTGTGTGATATTATTTCAGATTCCTCTATCCAGGCCTGCTTAGGATTAGTAACAAATTTGGTCAAGTTTATGTGAACATTCTAAGATTTATTTTCAGCATTTTCGCCTGAATCACTTCTAGAGTTATAGCCCTTGTTCATTTTGGAGAATCTTATGAATGTTTTAACATCGAAAAAAAAACCCACCTTATCAACTTAAAATTTATGTCCTGTGCTTTGATTATTGCGATGAAACGCAATTACAATAATTTCTGATAATAAAGTCTAAGAGTTATTGCCATTGGTTATGTTGTACATTCTTTTTAATGCAGTATTTATATTTTGCAGTGTAAATTTTTGCTCTTAATTGACCTTTATTGACTACTCAGGCAACATACATGCTGTGGGCAGATGTTTCTATGTCTGACAACAACAAATATTATTGGGGATGGTATGATCTTTTTTCCTTTCATTTTAGACAAATTATATCCCATTGAGAATAAATATAGTAGATATCAATGACAACGTTCCAGAATTTTTGCCTTCATCTTATGCTGTTAATGTTAGTGAGGTAAGTGGTGTTACATTCTTATTCAATGGCATACCAGTGGTTAAACTTTAAACATACATTATGCAAGAGCTAAAATATGTCTATTGGGCAGGTCTTTCTTTAGGCCTGAAATGTTATCTAAATTATTAATTAGACATTAATTAACCTATCCAGACCATAATCAACTCTAGATGGCATTGCTAGCCTGCGACCTTTAGTGGATTAGGAGCCGATTTACTGCATAACGATTTAACAATTAAATGGATAATCAAGACTATGCTGTTTATCGTACTGACTTTAGTAATGATGATCAAGGCTAGACGGAAATTTCATAGTGGATCAATTTGAATGAAATTTTCAGTAAATTGCCTTTACATTATCTAGTTTTTAACTATTATAGTGAGAACTGCCAAATCGTTATCGAATCTCCCATAATGTATCTTTAAGTATCTCTATACTATCTTTCTGATGAAAGATCATTTACCTCCAATTGCCACTCGAGCCTCCGCCCACCCCCTCCCCCCTGGCTTACCACTCTATCTTGTGCCGCCTCACATCTAATAAATATATTTTAAACACAAATTCCTTCACAATTAGTGAATTACAATATCCGTCCTTCTACTGATCCAGATCCAGTTCAGTTGAAAATATCTATGCGAAGAGTATTTATAAGTTATATTTGTTTATATTACAGTTGACACCAGTTGGAACTACAGTTACACAACGCATCAATGCTCTTGATAAAGATGCAGGTGAAAATGAAGAAATTGATTATGGTATAGTACCCGGTGATGGAACCGATGTAAGTTATTTTAGTGTTTAAAAATTATGTTCATTTATTGAGTTTTACATATATGCTGCCTTATGATCCTTTATAGTTTGAAATTTTTTTTAGCCCTTCTAGAGTCGAAAGTTATATACAGGAAGGAAATCTTTATTATTTCTGTTCATTACTTCTTTGTTTGTTACTGTTGATCAGTTTTTAGTGTCTTGTAAATGTTCCCATTACTGATAAAAGAACAAATATGCGACAACTGTTGTTGGCATGTTTCATTTCAGCGTATCAATTTTAAAATACTGTCTATTACATATTCTGCTCTAAATGACGATTCTTCACCTCAATACCTTAGAGACCTTCTCAACACCAATAAACCTTGCAGAACCCTTCGATCATAATCAGACAACCTCTTAATTAAGCCTTTTTCAAAAAGGAACACCGGTGATAGATCTTTTGCCGTCAGTGCTCCGAAGTTATGGAATTCAATATCAAATGAAACCAAAAGCGCAAATTCTATTAAAGGTTTTAAAAAGTATCTCAAAACCGAACATTTTAATCAAATATACAGCTGATTGAATACGGTTCTAGCTGTCACTAGGGACTGGGTATCATTCAGATTTGATGAAAGTATTAAATACCATCAAGATTCATCAATTAATGCCCAGTTTGTGCTACCGTTTAGTTTAAGAAACACCATTTAGTTTTTGACATCGGTCATCTAGTTTATGTCCATTTAGTTTAGTTTTGATATTGGTCATCCAGTTTATGACCATTTAGTTTCATAAACTAGACAACTGATGTCAATCTAAACGGTAGCACAAACTGGGCAGTTTTTAATGAATCTTGATGGCATTTAACACTTTCTGGATGGCAATCTATTAACTGAATATGTGTATTAGATTATAGATGGTAAGCTCAGTTTCTTTCCTTTTTTCATCAAATCCGAATGATACCTGTTCCCTAGTGTGTGTTTGTGTCAGACTTTTACCATGTGTACTAAATAATGTTCTCCGTTTTTTGTTCATGTCTTTTTTATGGATTAATGTGTTGTAATTGTTGTAATTTTATATTCGTTGTACTTATGTAAAGTGCTCGAGAGCACTAACTGAGTTGAATTGTTGGTGCTATAATATAAATCAATTATTAGGCTTTCAGACTGTCTGAAAGACTATTGTTTTTACTAAAATTATTATTATTATTTTTTTTTTCCGCGGGAGCCTATTTCTCCATGATCGGAAACAGATATCGATCTGGAACCAAATTTTCTATTGGGAAACTAGGTGGTGGCTACTCCTTAAAACAATTTTGAAACTTCTGCGCAGACCGGAAGTGGCCGAATTTCGTGCGGTGCATAAAAATTAAAAAACGGCCGTAGCTTCGTCAATTCTGTACCTATTTTCATACAAATGACATTTTCAGAAACCCTGAGTCTTTTCTCGGACGATAGCAGTTGAAAATTTCGAGATTTCGAAACTTCGTCGCTGACTTCTAGCGTTCGAAAAATGAAAAATTTTGTTTAAGAGACAATTTTTTCTATTTTTCAAAATATTCAAATTTGACCTACATTTTTGGATACCTGAAGACCATCCGATACCAGAAATGTAAGTTTCATTCCGAGTTATCGCCCTTTATTTTACGATTTTTTTCGAATTTTCTGCCCATTTCCCAACCCTTATATTTTTTGGAAAGGATAAATCGATAGTTCTGAAATTCCTGGAACATAAAGCTATATAGTCAGACCGCTGCATAAAGCAATTTTAAAAACGATCCGGAAACCGGAAGTAGTCGAAATAATGATAGATATTTTGAAAAAAACGCCAAAAATGGGTGTTTTGGGGAAAAACGTGATTTCTCCGTCCAATATCAATGGATTAAACGAATTAAGCTTTCGTTGAGTGGCCCGAGGAATGGACTGTCGTATGATGCCCAATTTATACGGATACTATGACCAAGCAGCAAAATATGACAAGCTGAAAATCAAGTATTTTCTGATTTGGAGCGTTTTTGGACGCCTGTATATCGAAATCTTAACCGCAACGTTTTTTTTAACTTTCTCTATCGAGAGTCCATTCGATAGTCTTGTGAATTATGCCATCCAATAAGACTTTGAAATGTCTGGAATACGATAAAAAAGGGACTGAAAATCGAAAAAAGTCGAAAAATCGTGAAATTTTGCAAAATGCTCTATTACTTTATTATTTAAACAAATTTTTACAAAAAGATTACAGATTCGGATAGCTGACCTAATTACGATTCTAACGATGTATAATATGTATTGAGTTATTGAAATTTAATTTTCGATATTTTGACATTTTTGGCACCTTTGAACATAGGATTTCTCAGGGCCATTTTATCTGATCAGATAATGTAATATATCATTACAGAGCCCTGTCGCTATTTAATTGCCCAAACTGGTTATTAAAACTATTCCGACAATAATCTTCATACCGGAAGTATTCAAAAAATGAAAAAAAAAGGTTAAAAAATAATAATCGTACTCCAACATCAAAGGATGACGTCACATCTGTATTTTAAATTCATATAGTACAGCATTGGGGATTGGATTGCAAATTTGACTGAAAGGAAAATAAAGAGACACTTCAGCTTTATTTCTGCCAAACAAGGTCTGACATAAGATTGTTCTATATTTTGCGTCTTTGCGCACATTCCTGAAAATTGAAAAACAAAATAAAAGGGTTCTACTTACTCTCACTTGCAAGAATTAACTTATTTATTTTTCTTTTATTTTAGTTTGATGGCAGCACTAAGTTTGAATTTGAAATTTCTTCTCTTGGTAATGTCCGTGTAAAAAATGTTCTTGATTTTGAGGTTTTAAATGCTCAGAGCAGGACAGTTTACAACATGAATATTTCAGCTACAGTAAGTTTACGCTATTGCAATCTTATCCATTGTAACAAATAAAGTATTTTCGTCCCATACGAATAAACTACTTAAACATACGTTATGCAAGAGCTAAATCAGCCGATTGTAAGACTTTATTTAGGCTTCAGATGTTATAGAAATTATTAATAAGACCTTTATTTACACGACAAGCCCAAAATCAACTCTGTAGACCCACGGATGGCTTGGATACAGTTTGGATTTAAACAGTCATCCATTTAAAATTAAATCAATAAATGGTGGACCCGAAAGTGGTGATGAAAGGCTTGCCAAGGGAAGCTACCATAGCCATTGAGCATGTTACTTGATAATCGAGAATATGTAGGTGGAGTTATAGTCTGTCAATCAAACGATTGCCAATTCTCATAGACGGTGCAGACACAATTGATGCTTATTTCTAGTCCAAACTTCCAACAGTGACAATTCCATTCATTATGGCTTTTTAAAAACTTACCCATGGGTTTGTAATCACCTCTGGTAAAATAAAATCTCTAGTACAATTAAATATCTGAACCATAAGTTCCTACAAGGCCATATTTAGTAACTAGTTACCCTATTGATATCCATTTTCAAGTTATAAAATCCAGAGATGTTTTAGGTTTTCAGGAAATTATCTATGATTAAAAAACAATTAATTTCTATCCTTAATTATTGATTTGATTAAACTGGTATTTGATATGTTGCAATTATTTAACAGGATCGTGGTTTACCACCTAGAGTTACCTACACTACATTAGCTGTAAGAATAGAAGATGGTGATGATTTACCACCAGTGTTTGAGTATGATTCTTGTATTAAAGATGGTGGTATCTGTTTCAATCCTGAATATAGAGCAGATTATACATCATTATCAACTGTAAGTTCTTTATATTGTTTAGTGATATCCAGTTTATTTATATTACAAGATGTGAAATGCTGCAAATAATGTGCTGGCGTTGACATCTTAGAATGATAGTGTAATGGAATCTAAACCTTGCGGTTACGGCTCTGGTACTCATGCTCTCTTGAATAAATACAGTGGCGAGTTTTCGGTCTTCTTCCACAGAACTGTAGGAATTGTACTGACCCTAGATTTTTAGAATCCAGATTTTATACTGTATGTTTGCAACCATGAGATTTTCAACATTTCCATTCTTTCAAATTCAATATTTTGTGTTGATCCGTGGTACTTTTCATGTGTTATTGTCGTAAACTGGTGTTGCATTCAGAATTGCAAGACTTAAGTCTGTCTTACAAACAAGATTTACAATCATCCATTTATAAATATAAGTGCTGTGTTTTCATTCCATCCAAGCATATTTGAAATATTTTACAGACTGGAGTGTTAACTGTATATCCAGTACCAGCAAATGGTGGATCACCTACATCTATACAAGCCAAAGATCAAGATACATTGAACTATTCAATTGACTTTTCAATTCAACAGAGTAAGTCTAACATATTAATGAATATACTAACATATATGTCATAGCTTACATGTACATGGATTCCTTAATGTTATAGAAAGATTAAGATTTAGTGCCGAGAAAGATTGGTTTGATTGTGTATTTTAAGGAGAACCTCAACATAGCAGTTACCTTACATATTTTTTATTATCTAATATTACATTATTTTTAACAATACTCAGCCTAATATACAAATTATTTTGATAAACAAATTAGTGTAGCACTTTGGTCCTTAAGACAATATTGGGTCTTTGAAAAATTGTTGCTTCACTCTTTCTAGTGAATCAAGTCACACATACTTAATAAACATGAATGATATATATATATTTATATATAAAAAACAGTGATATTTTGGTAAAATTCTATCCATTGTCAAAATAGCCATCAAATTAAAAAACAGTGATATTTTGGTAAAATCCTTACCATTGTCAAAATAGGCATCAAATTCTGTATGTTTATTGACCTATGGTTGGTAGACCAAATAAGGTAAAGTTCTCCTACCTGCTCTTGAGAAATGGAGAGGTTTATTCCATATTTGGGATGGAAATTAACGTCAAGGCTAATCTAAGACGTGCAGAAATTAGGGGGTTATACAAGAGGGTGTTGAGCGAGACTGGTCAGAGCTCACCCAGGTATTATTTATTGAGGATGAGGAACCTTCAAAGTCATTCCAGCTTAACAATAAAATTGTAGGAACCAATTATCCTGTAGTGTTCACGATCACGAAGAAAACAAACACAACAGGGAAAGAAGTCTGATAGTACAAATTAGCTCACTGACTGTATTAATTTTGTAACTTTAGGCCACACCTGTTTAAATTTCTGTTCTTTGGGAACACCTGTTAAAAAATCTGCCTCCAATTTCTTCAGCAAAAAAATAATAATTTCAAAGCCAAAAGTACTTAGTTGCTCCAATCTGATTAAAACACTGATCCTATTTCGTTTCATTTTTTATAGTTCAATATTTCGTTTTACTTGTCTTTACAACACTAGGATCTGGAAGTTTTGTTATATAACCTGCGTTCTGGATGATGTGAGGGATTAGCCAATGAAATGGTCTGTTACGGCCATTTTTTGGCGTGAGGTGCACGGAACTGTGGGTAACCCACTAGAAATCTCAACCCTGATTGGTTAACCGAATGTCTGACGTCATAGGGTCAAAAGTCGGTCGTATGACCTTTGACGTGACCTTCCACTACAACCGACCAGATCTTCGCGTAGTGTAGGCCATCAAAAGTATAAAAAACGAAACGGAATATATATATGTATTTTAATCCAATTGTTAGTTAGGTTTTACTTTTAAATTTGGAGATCTTAGTAAACTTTAGGGAGATGCTCGATTAAACGTTCCGTAATTGAATTCTGTCAAACCCAAAAATAGTGACAATCGAGTGAAAATGGAATTTTGGGCTAGAACGCATGCGCTGACTGCATGAGAAAATATCTCAACCAACCATGACTGCTGAAACATATTTATTAGGTTTAATTACGTCACGATTCTACTCACACCACCTCTGTTGTCGGGACTGACAGAAATGCGACAGGACTGAATTCTGCGTCATTCGATTGCGATTAGGTCAATTCAGAGTGTTCTGGACTGACAATCGAGCACCCCCCAGGTTATTTATTGATCAAGACCCCATAAAACTAAAAATTAAATTGGTGTTGCTGTTCAAAGCTTTTATTCAAATAAATTAACTTGCAGCTATTCCTGCTGGATATGAAAACAAGTTTACAGTGAGTGGTGCTGGTCCTATAGATGGTTACTATACTGCTACAGTTTCTGTAGTAGACCAAATTAACAGGAATGATATTACTTCACTACAGGTTGTTCTTAAGGTAAGTCAAATTGGATGTGACTTTGAAACAGTTGGGGGGGTTGGATAGCTGAATGGTTAGCACATATGCGCTGTATCATAAGGTCTGTCAATGAGTCAACTGGCGGGGTTTCGATTCCCCAGTTGTACGTGACAAGGAGTAGGGTCGCCTGTCCACCTCGTGGGTTTTCTCCTGGTCCTCCGGTTTCCTCCCACTGCTAAAGACCCCTACGCACAAGCGAATTATTGAAAAACAAAATATAAACCATATGTTAGTCCCGAAATGACCTAGTTTGTGTCAAGTGGACTTTAACCCTCCCCCCCTCTCTCTCTCTCTCTCTCTCTCTCTCTCTCTCTCACACTCAAATTGATTATTTAAAATTTAATTTATTAAGACAACAAATTCAAAATATCAACGGTTGATTATCTTCGGCTTTGATTCTGTCAGATTAAAATAAGGACCATCGATAGATTGTTGAAAACAATTTCCGAACGGAACTGAAGCATTTATGGACTGATATATACGTTTTAGAGATACAACTTTCAAAACATTGTAATTTGCAACATATTAAAACTCCCTCAAATGACGATCAGTGAAAAGATTTGCTTGGGTTGTATCTGGTGTTGGCAATTTTCTTGAAGTCCCCTAAATTCCCCCCCCCCCCCCCTGATATTCAAAATGGGGGACTTCAAGTCCCTCTAAATTTTTAGTCCAGCTTGAGCCCTGGTACATATTCGCACAGCTGGAGTTTTCTTTCAAGAAATTCACAATATGTTGGCTACTATAATTTTGGTACATCTCAATAACATTACTAGGATTAAAGGATCTTGTTATCCAGTGATCTCATCATGGAGTCATGACAAAAGCCATGTAAACTCTGCAGTATGTGCCTACATAATGTTTACATATTCTTAGTTGCATTTTGATTTTGAAGAATAATCACTTGAATTATTTGCAGAATTTATGTTTTATATCTTGTTTTACCTTTTGTATGACATAATTTCTGTTTCAGGCTACAGAGAATGGCCCTTCAGATAATCGAAGATCCAACAGAGCTATAATAAGAGTGAGCATTGTACCGGCTAATAATGCTGATCCTATTATATCTAGTAACATTTCACCAGATTTTATTGGTTATATTCGAGAAGATGCTGCAGCTGGGGCATTTGCTAAATCACAGAATTTGGATACTACCCTTCAGCTTATAATTACTGATGCTGATGTTGTAAGTTAAATTGATTTTAGAGTTATAACCCCACATCTATTGTCATCCATGGTATCCCAAGATGCCTCATTCCATTCTACTCCACTAATCCCTGGGTTAATCTATGTGGTGGGTGGGGGGACATGTTTTCAAGTTATGTGCCCTTGATGATTGTGCCATTTTTATCGACCAATCCCATAAATTGTTCATTGCAAGGGAAGTTGGCAAAGGGAAGTAACTCTCACCGGGTAAAGTAAGAAAAACGCAATGGCTCCCCTTCAAGAGACAAGATTAGAAAATTTATTATCCAGAAGGTAGCCTAAATGAGAGAAGTCCAAATTATACTAAATGCATATTTATTTGTAACAAATTAAAATTCTTATATAATATATTAATGAAGACCGGACAGGTAACATTTTTATTGAGAATGTTGTTGTTGTTCTTAGTGCGTAATGTCCGCTTCCACCGAAGGTGATATTGCAGACAAGTTGTCCCATAGCAACTATTGATGTTTTAATGTTACTGTCCCCGGTATCCACCTTCTGTCAAGTCATTAAAGGGGTTGATGTTCAGATAATATTATCCTCCATTAACCACATGCTTTGAATTTCTCATACACAAGGTAAAACAGTGGTTAACACTTAGCGATAATCATTATAGTGTGTGTCGATGTGTAAGTCAGATAGTAACCTATTTCAACTGTTGTTATTTGAAATAAAAGTTGTTGGTTCTGCCCTTAGGGTTTTTATTGTGAATATTAACCTGGAATGGGTTGCTATCTACTATATAGATTTAAGACTAATCCTCGCTTGTTTTTTAATTTTATTTTATCTGATAGAAACAAGGTGATCCCCAACCAAACTACGATTTTACTTTGAATCCATCTACTACCTTTCGAGTTGATAATAATGGTTTTATACGTCTGTTAGCTGGTAATCTGAATTATGAAACAGTAAGAAGCTATACCTTTAATGTAAGTATGCTATACGTTTTTATACGCCCACATTTTCATGTGGACGTATATTGTCGTCGCCCCTGTCCGTCCGTCCGTCCGTCTACAGTCTACAGGTCACAATTTTTATCCGATTTCAATGAAACTTGAAATATAGGTTTATCACCCTACGATCTCGGTTCTTTTCGATATTGGCATCTATCGGACCGTAACTTCATGGATTATGGCCCCTGATTGTACGAAAAATCACGTTTTTGGCTTGTGAACACTGTAGAGGTCACAATTTTTATCTGATTTTGTTGAAACTTGAAATGTAAGTTTATAACACAAAGATCTTGGATCCTTTCGATATTCGCGCATATCGGACCGTAACTTCATGAATTATGGCCCCTGATTGTACGCAAAAACGCGTTTTTTGGCTTGTGGACCCTATAGAAGTCATAATTTTTATCCGATTTAAAAAAACGTGTTAATATATCACCGTTACACCCTAAGGACGGCCGAGTTCGAATTTTGTGAAAATCGGCCCAAAACTGACAGACAAAATGGCCGCCGTTCGTTCTCAAATAGCGTAAAAATATGGTATATCAAGGTTGTGGACCCTATAGAGGCTACAATTTTTATCCGATTTTGTTGAAACTTGAAATGTAAGTTTATAACACAAAGATCTTGGTTCCTTTCGATATTCGCGCATATCGGACCGTAACTTCATGAATTATGGCCCCCGATTGTACGCAAAAACGCGTTTTTTGGCTTGTGGACCATATAGAGGTTATAATTTTTATCCGATTTAAAAAAACATGTTAATATATCACCGTTACACCATAAGAATGGCTGAGTTCAAATTTCGTGAAAATCGGCCCAAAACTGACAGACAAAATGGCCGCCGGTCGTTCTCAAATAGCGTAAAAATATGGTATATCAAGGTTGTGGACCCTATAGAGGTCACAATTTTTATCCGATTTTGTTGAAACTTGAAATGTAAGTTTATAACTCAAAGATCTTGGTTCCTTTCGATATTTGCGCATATCGAATTATAATTTCCTGACAAGGAGTAGGGTCGCCTGTTCAAGCTCGTGGGTTTTCTCCAGGTCCTCCGGTTTCCTCCCACTGCTAAAGACCCCTACGTGCAAGCGAATTCTTGAAAAAAAAAATTGAACCATATGTTAGTCCTGAAATGACCTAGTTTGTGTTGAGTGGATGTTAAACCCCAATTCTCTCTGTCTCTCTCTTGTTTCAAAGAACTTATGAGTAATTATCTGTGTCACTTTATAACTGGATCCTATGTTTAACAACCACACCTTTTCATCGTGAATTTGATATTGACTATTTACATTTGTGATCTTTTAACTTAAAGCATTCATATATACATGTTTTTTCCATATGTCTAATTATAGAGGCTTTCATTTTTTTTTTTTGAATGGCCAGATTCATCTCTGTAGATTTTTTATAGTTTGTTTGTATATTAATAGGTAATAGTCACAGAGAGAGATACAGCTGAACGAAGACAAGCTACAACATCCGTAACTATAAATGTATTGGATGTCAATGATAATTCACCAATTTTTACTTCGAAGATATATAATGCAACTGTCGCAGAGGGTGATTATTCTCCCCCTTCAGTAGCACAAGCTCTTGCTACTGTAAGTACTTAGTAGTTCTACACTTATTCATAATATTGGTGAAGCACAGAAGTAATATCAAATTATATTGTGGAACATATAAAAAGTCATTTAATTATTCCTGAAGTAATCAGAACTAGTATTGTCTGCACTTTTTTTTTTACAAAACATTTTTATTCGAAATGCTAATAGGAGGTCAATCTGATTAAAATACAGATCTATATTTCGTTTCGATGACCTACACTACATGAAGATCTGACCGGTGTAGCGATAGGTTGCGTCAGAGGTCATACGAGGGGCTTTTGACCCTATGACGTCAGACATTTGATTAACCAATCAGCATTGATGTTACTAGTGGATTACCCACAGTTCCGTGCAAAACAGGCCTAAAACTGTTTTGGGGGGGGGGGGTGGCCCAAGAAAATTATCCGTCATTTCCTTGCATCTGTAGCCATTCCAAGAACTATTTCCCAGACTGGTGTGTTTGAGTCGATGGTTTGAGTCATTTGGGATCCCTACAACGGGTTGGGAACGGACATATTTGAATCTGAGAAAAGGCACTTTCAGCAGTAAAAAAGGGCACTGTCGAAAATTAGGGGGGCGCGCCCCTCGCGCCCCCCATTGAATCCGCCTCTGATATATGACATTATTCTGGTCTTCTCAAGTACATATTATATGCATGTTTGATGGGTTAATTTATATATCCCCTTTCTTTCAGGTTGTTGCTACAGATGCTGATTTAACTGCGCCATTTAATACTATTTCATATCAAATAGAATCTGTTCAACCAAACCAACCACAAAAATTTTCTGTTGTAAGAGGTAATGTTGTGGCTTTAAATGGTCAAGTTACTTTAGGAGACAGTTATGTTATTGCAGTCCGGGCCTCAGATGGCGGAACTCCAGCACGAAGGTAATATATATATATATGTACAGCTATTTGATTGCACTCTTAATTCAAATGGGTTGATTTAACATTCTCAACATAAATGCCTTGATTTAGTATAAAAAATATATGATTATTCTACATGGGGAAACTGAATGATTACTCTGTACATGCAATGGCTTGATTTAACATTGGGGGGAGGGGGGGGTTGGATGGCCGAATGGTTAGCACATGCGCGCTGTATCATAAGACCTGTCATTGAGTCAAGTGGCGTGGTTTTGAATCCCCGGTTGTACGTGAAAAGGTGTAAGGTCGCCTGTCCAACCTCGTGGGTTTTCTCCAGGTCCTCCGGTTTCCTCCCACTGCTAAAGACCCCTACATGCAAGCAAATTATTGAAATAAAATTAAACCATATGTTAGTCCCGAAAAGAATCTAGTTTGGGTCGAGTGGACATTAAACCCCCATTTCTATCTCTTTTCTCTTTGATTTAACATTGGAAAATATATGATCTTTCTGTACATAAAGGGGGATTGGTTGGCTGAATGGTTAGCATGTGCACGCTGTACCATAAAGTCTGTCATTGAGTCAACTGGCGTGGTTTCAAATCCCCGGTTGTACGTGGCAAGGAGTAGGGTCGTCTGTCCAACCTCGTGGGTTTTCTCCGGTTCCCTCCCACTGCTAAAGATGCCTACACGCAAGCGAATTATTGAAATAAAATTAAACCATGTGTTAGTCCCAAAATGACCTAGTTTGTGTCGAGTGGACGTTAAACCCCATTTCTCTCTCTCTTTCTGTACATAAAATTCATAGCAGTCTGAATTACCTTAGTTTTTGGGGAGAAGGACATTCGCACTCGAAATAACTTTTGTTTTATTATTATTTTGGTATTTTTGTTTTAATTAGTGATGTGGCTATTGTGTACTTAACTGTTACATCAGGACAAAATAGAAATCCACAAATACCATCACCTGGATATACTGTATCTGTCAGTGAGGGTATTGTTCTTAACAGTCAAGTCTTTGATGTTCCGGTGAGTTAATGTCTTTTTCTTTCTTTTTACAGAATAATTATAGATACAAAAAACAAATTTAACTTTAAAAAGCATATAAAATGAACATATAAAAGTGGCATGTAGGTTACTTGAAGCCAGGGTATTTATATACACTTTACACCAATTTCACAACAAATTAAAGATACATTATGGGAAATAAGATAAAGAGCTGACAGTTCTCACTATAATAGTTAAAAACTAGATAATGTAAAGGCAATTTGCTGAAAATTTCAGTCAAATTGATCCACTATGAACCGCGAATTAAGCGATTGAAATTTCGACCTAGCCTTGATCATCATTACTAAAGTCTGTACGATAAAAAACATAGTCTCGATCATCCCTTTCTTGATTAAATTATGAATGGAAGTTGAGCAGCAAATGGGATCATAATCCAGTAAATATCGCAGGCTAGCAATGCCATCAAGATTTGATTATGGTCTGGATATGTTAATTAATGTCTAATTAATAATTTAGATAACATTTCAGGCCTAAAGAAAGACCTGAAAAAGGCAAATTTAGATCTTGCATAATGTATGTTTAATTAAAATGATTTGAATGAAATCGGTGTAAGAATGAAATTATAAGAATTTTGTTGGCAATTTGTTTTGATCTTGTTTATGCAGATGTTAAATTTGTAATTTTATAGGTATTTCGGCGCAGTACGTTGATTCGGCTACTTAGGGTTAGGGTTAGGTTTAGGGTTAGAAGTCAAAAGTAGCCGGGTCAACGTACTTATTTCTAGGTGTGAGATTTGTTTCAGGTTACTAATGAACTAAAATTATATATATTTTAAATATATTATAGGCCAGTGACCCAGAGGGCCAGCTACTGACTTATGCAATTACTGGTGGAGATATAACATCATCATTTAATATTGGTACTCAGTAAGTTTAATTTCATTACATTTGTTTTCATATTTATTGTAATAATGATATTCACCAGTTGAAAAGATAAGGTTACCAAGATAAAATATGGTTTAACCCTTAAACATTTGAGATATGATGTTATACTAGAGTACTTGCAGGTATATGGAATACATAATGATTGTATCTATACCAAGTATTTAGGATTGTATAAAATACGGCACCACTGATCTACTCAGTACATTAACAACACATTACTAAAACCACCTTTACTTAAAAATAATTTTTGTAAATAGAAATAACATCATTTTGATAATTGATAGTGTATTTGTTGCACTTATTTGACTGATGAGTCAACTGGCGCGGTTTCGAATCCCCGGTTGTGCGTGACAAGGAGTAGGGTCGCCTGTCCAACCTCGTGGGTTTTCTCCGGGTCCTCCAGTTTCCTCCCACTGCTAAAGACCCCTACGCGCAAGCGAATTATTGAAATAAAATTAAACCATATGTTAGTCTCGAAATGACATAGTTTGTGTCGAGTGGAAGTTAAACCCCATTTCTCTCTTTCTCATATTGAGGGGTTCCATCTGTCATTTGGATTTTAATCAGAATGGTTAAGAATAGTCATTGACAATTTCCTTTCCTTTATTTCTAGTATTGTTTTGTCCTACATTGATATTTGACATATTTTCTCTGATCTGGGTGTTCAGATTGACCAGTCAAAAGTATTTGGGACTCCATTTCACAGGGGGTTGTGGTACATGAAACCTGATGTAGACTAAAATAGGAGCCTGGGATATGTGAATTTTCTTTGTTCTTATTAGAGGAACAAATTTTAAATTTCGGCAAATGAAAATATACTTTCCATAATAACATGCATTTGGCTGACAGGCTATAAATAAAATAGCCTATTATTTGAGTGAAACTTAAGTTAGATTACATGGGGGTTGGATGGCTAAATGGTTAGCGTGTGCGCGGTGTATCATAAAGTCTGTCATTGAGTTAACTGGCGTGGTTTCGATTCCCCGGTTGTACTTGACAAGGAGTAGGGTCGCCTGTCCAACCTTGTGGGTTTTCTCCAAGTCCTCCGGTTTCCTCCCACTACTAAAGACCCCTATGCGCAAGCGAATTATTGAAATAAGATTAAACCATATGTTAGTCCCAAAATTACCTAGTTTGTGTCGAGTGGACGTTAAACCCCATTTCTCTCTCTCTCTAGTTAGATTACAATGTAGTGTAAAATCAGAAAAATAACGAAATTCTTAGTCAATTAACAGTAAAGACTTCTTGTTCTTGAATGCTTCTGAAATAGCAAAAAAATTCCATTTTAATTTATTGTTTTGATATTTACAGAGGAATTATTCGAAATGTAAGACTGTTAGACAGAGAATCTAGAGATAGACATGAATTAACAGTAGTGGTTACTGATCCACAAGGTTTGGTAAGTTGTTTGACATTTTTATCTGACAGGAAATGTACATTATATTAAAGATACCTTATCTTAGATTTAGATAAAGAGCTAGCCATTCTTCCTATTATAGTTCGAAAATAGATAATGTAAAATTAATAATTTGAAAATTTCATTCAAATTACTCTATTGCCAGCGAAAATATTATCCTTTGAATGATTGACAAGACGTGTGCAATAATTTCAACCACCGTACTGGTTGTTCGAAGCTAAGTCTCGCTCCTCCATTTTTATATACTGATCAAATGGTAAACAATGTATCACAAATTTACCCATTTTTTATTTATCTGTAAAACTCTTTTTTATCAGCATAGAAATAATACAATTGGATACGAGAAGAGGGACGGCAACATTTGATAAAGGGTATCTCAACCCGAAACGTTATATTGATTAAAAATCTTCACTTCTACCAAGTCGGGGATTCTTTAATTTATTTTAAAAAATACAGCTAGATGAAAAAATGCATGAGAAAAAATTCTGAAGGAAAAAAAAAGTGAAATTTCTCTGAGAATATGCTGAGCAAGTAGCTGATCATCTTTTAGGTCCTTTTCTATATTGTTAATGATTTCAGAGTCATGAAAGGGGCGAAATACATACTAACCCAATTGTATCAATATGAAAGATTGATCTTAGCATTATCATTATTAGGCATGGGTTCTCATGAATTATCTTCCCACAGTATTTCTCAATCAAAGAAAGCCATGGAAGGATTGGAATTACAAGTTTAAAATGACCTTTTATTTATGCTGTTTCCATGATTTGCATATGATGTCAATAATCAATCAGGATTTTGACAAGATTAAGATTTGTTGATTGAAAGCTTTGAACATAAATAAATTTATGTGTTAAAGACTTTGTTATTATCACTTGATTTAATTGCATGTTTACAAAGCTAGATAAGTTCTATGTTGTAGATATATGTACATAAATGTCTGTTCTACTTTGCAGACGGCTTCAACAACAGTAACTGTACTTGTAACTGATATTAATGATAATTCCCCTGTATTTGGGACAGCATCCTACAACTTTAATGTACCTGAAAATGCTGTAAATGCTGTTGCTGGTTCCGTAAATGTAAGATTTCTAAATCTTCCTATTATTAGAAACACTAAATATCCAATTTAGTAACTGGATAGAGCAATAAACTATAACACATACTTATGGAAAAACAATTACTGATTTATTTGGGCAACGTTTCGAAGAGTATTCTCTCAACGTTATCAAGCTAACGTCGCCCAAATAAATAAGTAGCTGTTTTTACATAAGTATGTGTTTTAGTTTATTACAAAATATCCATCTTGCAAAAAAGATTGTATCTCAATGCAGACTAAATACACTTGTTATTAAAATGTATTAAACAGGAAATATTAAATAATTGTGAATAACGTTTATTATGTGACCAAACTGTTGATAATTTTATTGATTTAGTTTATTAATATATTGACCCCTATTTGTTTATGATTTTATCTAGGCAGCTGATATAGATCTGCCGAACAACCCAAATAGTGCTATTACATACAGTCTTGATGATCCAAATAATTTGTAAGTATATTCCCCTCTCTCTCTCTCTCTCTCTCTCTCTCTCTCTCTGCAGTTTATTGGAGGGGTGGGCAATCAAATGGTCTAATGGGTTCGCTTTAGATCATAAGGTCTGTCGTTGACTTCACCCGTCCATACAAATTATTGAAATAAAAGTGAAGCATATGTCAGTCCCGAAATGACCTAATTTGTGTTGAGAGGAAGTTAAACCTCATCTCTCTCTCTGTCTCTGTATGATTATGTTTAATGTAATATGGAGATGTAATGTTTAAGGCAAGTCATGTGATAGTATATTGGACATAGAATAATGCATATATATATATATATATATATATATATATATAAACATGTCTATTTCAATAGGGAGCCACGTTCACTCACTAAACAGGTCTTGGTATTGCAAGGAACAATGTCTTGTCGTTAAGAATGGTGCAAAAAAACCCAACAATGTCCAGTGTGCACATTGGTGCATGTAAAAGAACCCTTGACAGTTGTAAATCGATATGTCTGGTAAAAATATTCCCTCATACCACCCACCTTGATGTCTGTCCCCCTTTATTAGGGGGGTTGGATGGTCGAATGGTTAGCACGTGCGGGCTGTGTCATAAGGTCTGTCATTGGGTCAACTGGCATGGTTTCAATTCCCCAGTTGTACGTGACAAGGATTGCTTGTTTAACCTTGTGGGTTTTCTCCGGGTCCTCCGGTTTCCTCCCACTTCTAAAGATCCATACGCGGAAGCAATTTATTAAAATAAGATTGAGCCATATGTTAGTCCCAAAATGACCTAGTTTGTGTGGAGTGAAAGTTAAACCCCATCTCTCTCTCTCTCTCTCTCCCTCTTCATTAGCCCAGATGCTGCAGAAAACTTTTGAAGTACAAAACCCCATTTCACTTCATCTCTATTTCAATAGGTTTCTGATAAACCAAAATACTGGAGAAATATCTACTAGAGTACCTTTAGACTATGAGGTTCAGCAGCGGTATATTATCCGTGCTATAGCTACTGATGGTGGAATTAACCCACGAGTTGGTACTGCTTCTGTAACTATTGATGTTACCGATGTTGCTGACTCCAACCCACTTTTTAACCCAAGAGATTATGAAGTCAGTGTAGCCGAGGGTAGTATAAATGCTGCTGTAGTAACAGTTAGTGTAAGTATAGCTTTCATCAATTTGAGAAAATCAACACAATTTGTGTTTGAAGATGCATTATGTAAGATTTAGATGAAATCTCAGTCAAATTAGATTTTTCTGAGCGAAGTTATAAATGTTTGATTAGTTGTCAAGGTAGTCTCAATTATAAATAACCATTGCTACGCTAATAATTAAATTTTCAATTATCCAATTTATCAATAGATTTTTAAATGACAAGGTTATTCTAAGCCATCCAGTTGTCCAAAGAGTTGATTATGTTTAGATAATAGTTTATATTTGAAACTAGAAAAAGCCCTGCAGTTGGTAAATTAGCTCTTACATAATGCATCTTTTACAATAGGTGTGTTAAATAGACCGCATTATGGGTGAAGTGAGGGATTAGCCAATCAAATTGTCTGTGAAGTTGAGTTCTTATTGTGTGGCATGCATAACTATGGGTAGACATTGACTACCATAGAAAACATAGCAAAGCAAAAGTTGTATTTCCAAATAGCCACTTGGAACACCAACTCTGATTGGTTAATTGAATGACTGATGTCATAGGGTCAAAGGTCTCACATATGACCTCTGGCATGACTTCTCACTACAACCAGTCATAGCATCATGTAGTGGAGGCCATTGAAATAAAAAAAAGGAAACAAAATATTTTAAAAGTGTATAAACCTATATATATTATTAATATATTTACTTCTTCAGGCAATTGATAGAGATGGTCCTACTAATCAAAATATTGTTTATAAATTTGGAGCTGGAGAAATAGGAAGCTTTATTCTTAACGAAGTAACTGGTGCAATAACGACTCGAGTAGCACTAGATTATGAGACAAAAAAATTGTATGTATTTCAAGTTACAACAACTGATGGGGAAGGGGAAAATGATCTCTCTGGTACTGCTACAGTAACTGTCAATGTTCGGGTAAATATTTTGTTTTTAAAACATCCCATAGACATGGTGCCACGGTGGCTAGGTGGTTAAGATGCTGGCTCGCTAGCCTGGAGGTTGGGTGTTCGGTCCCTTCATTGGCCGAGAAAGTTCATCAGGACTTTCCGACGTGGTTTCCCCTTGTCAGTGGTGCAGAACGGAGGGCCTGACAAGGACAGCTGTCTAGTCCTTTGGATGAGACGAAAAACCGAGGTCCCGTGTATACATTGGAATGCACGTAAAAGATCCCTTGGCGTTGGAATTCAATATAAGAGTAGGCGATAGTGCCGCTGCCCAGGCAAAATTTCCCTCATAGCACACTGTATGGCATATGCCCATCTTCATTAGCCCAGTATAGGAGCAGAACAGTAGGACGTTAAACCCCATTTTGTTTCATTTCATTTCATTTCCCATAGACATGTCAAGCAAATATAATGCATTATTTCATTTAATGTAATATTTTGTAGAAAATGTTTTTAAAAGGCAACTTACAATAGATGTTGTTTTGAGTATTCCCTATTAAAAACTCAGATTCACGAAAAATTAATTTCAGAAATAATAGATTAAATTGATTTGATTTATTTTTTCAGGATTTGAATGATGGAACACCTACCTTAGTATTAAATACAGTAAATTCAAGACTATTAGAGAATGTTCCTATTGGAACTTTAATAAGTACTGCCATAGGTACAGATACTGATGAAGAGGTAAGGGTCACCAGAAAATCTTCTCAATCAAAAATGACTTAAAAACATCTGCTGCAAATGAAAATAATGTTGATGGAAGATATATAATTTATTCAAACATCAACTTTAAAATTTGGAACGATTAATTCAGATACTTACAAAGATGGCTACATCATCTGTATGTTCTATATAGTACTGTTATATACTTTTCAAAAAAAAGTATGGGATATTGAAATGCAAATACCTATGCAGGTTGTGATATGATAAATAGTCATGGACACTTGACAATTAAGTAAGCTTGTTTTTAATAGATTAAAAGCAGGGATTAAGTGAAGAGGATGTAATGACAAGCTTTGGGTCATGGATTTAATTTTTTTTACATTCCCTTAAGTTTTAGTGAACCATTCACCCACCTCCTCATTTGGAAGCAATCACATGGTTTCAATGCAGTTTTCAAGACTATAAGCAAAATGCTCACCCAAGGTCAGCCAAATGTCTTCGCTGAGATATGCTACAAAACCATACAGTGCAAAATGGATAGTGGGGAAAGGGAGAATAGGTACCACTCGATCTTGTTCCACATGCAATATCAGTGGTAACCCACACCCCTGACTATATAGAAGGTGAATAATATATGAATTTTATATTATTTTATATTGTAGGGACCCAATAATAGAATAGTGTATTCAATTGATAATATTATTCCGGCCTCTGGAATTAGTCTCTTTTTCATTAACCCACAAACTGGTCGATTACTTACAAGCAATCGACTCACATCGGATGCTAACAGACCTGCTGAATATGATGTAAGTCTTTTATTTTGTTTTTTTAACACTATGGTTATTTGTGTATATAGTTATATAGCTATTTGTGTATATAGTTATTTGTGTATATAGTTATTTGTGTATATAGTTATTTGTGTATATTGTGTTGTTTCTTATTTGTTTACAATTTTCATAGAATAGTGGTATTAAATGTAACTGGAACTTGTCAGGATGTAAGTGGATAAAGACATATTTTTTCATTGATTATTGAATAAAAAATTCAGTCCAGTCTAAATGTTTTATCTTTGTGTAGCTGACAATTAAAGCATCTGATGAAGGTAGCCCACCCAGATCTGTTACACAACCTCTTAAAGTCACAGTTGTACGAAACACAGCTCCTCGATTTGATCCTAACGCTAGAACTATTGATGTTCGAGAAGATGAAGTAGTTAATGGGCGTATTGGAATAGCTACAGCTATCGAAGTTGACACAGAGGTAAGGATTACCAGTTCAAATAATTTACCAGTCATCTCCCCATTTTCATGAAAACTTAGGAAAGGAAAAAGTTGTTGATGAAATTGTTCCGTGATTGTTTCTTATGGTATATGTAAGAAGTTAAGAACTACTTACAAAATCTTCAGAATTAATATTCTGGGCCCTGTTTCTCGAAATTTTAACTAAAGATAAAATCCAATTTTAGTAGATACTTCAATTTTGATTGGCTAAGCACTAAAATCAATCTAATATTATCCAATCAAATTACTAAAATTTGGATTTTTATCTTAGTTAAAATTTCGTGAAACAGGCCCCTGATGATATATAAAAGCTTGAGAACGTGAAAAAGCAGGTGACAATTAAAACGAGATTGATGGACTAGTTATAAAGTAAACCTTATTGACAACTTACTTATGCTGTGAACCATGATCATACCTATACAGGGGGGTTGGATGGCCAAATGGTTAGCGTGTGCACGTTGTATCATAAGGTTTTTATTCCCTGGTTGTACGTGACATGGAGTAGGGTCGCCTGTCCAACCTGGTGGGTTTTCTCCAGGTCCTCCAGTTTCCTCCCACTGATAAAGAACCCCACAAGCAAGCGAATTATTGAAATAAAATTGAACCAAGTGTAAGTACCGAAATGACCTAGTTTGTAGACCTAGTTTGTGTGGAGTGGGCATTAAAATCTCTCTCTCTCCCTCTTTCTCTCTCTCCCTCTTTCTCTAATCAATTATGTGTTTGCTTGGAGTGACATACTAAACTTCAACATATTTTAGTGAATAACAATGATTTATATGATTTTATTTAATATTTCAGGCTCCATTTAATCAGATATCTTATCAGCTTATTGGAGATGGAATAGCTGTAGATTATTTCAATGTTGAAACCAATGGAGACATTATGATCAAGAAAAACTTACGAGACGATCCATCTTTGACATACACAGTAAGTGGTTAATAATGGATTTAATGCTTTGTTAGATCCTTTGTATTCATTAATTAAAAATTGTAAAGTACGGGCAAATTAATAGCATGTTAAATTTATTAGTTAAAACATCAAATATTTTATCTAACTTCATTCAAGAAAGATCATTGTCCACCAAATGTTGTTTAAAATATCCGCAAGTTTTACATTTCAGTTCTTTATGATGAATAATTATTATTAATATTAAAAAGAAGCAATAATTGATACTGATGATTTGTTATATTATGACTAATTAATAAAATGAACCAATGATTAATAATAGCAATTTGTTTTATTATGACTAATTAATAAAATGAAGCAAAAATTAATAATAACGATTTGCTTTATTATGATTAATTAATAAAATGAGCAATAATTAATAATAACAATTTGCTTTATTTCTCTTTCAGCTTCGAATTCGTGTTACTGATGGTGGCGGTTTATTTAATGACCTTACTGTTACTGTACCTGTTGACAGGAATCTGAATACACCAGTGGTATCACAACAGAATTATACAATAACAATTCCAGCAAACAGAGCTCTTAACGAACGTTTAGTTCAAATTCAAGCAATTGATAGTGATTTTCAGGTTAGTTGAGATGCGTTATTCATGGATTTAATAGTGGAAATTGTTATACAGATTTTTGTAGAAAACTGGTTACAATAATCATCCCAGTATCTTTTAGATCTACTTAAAATAGTGGTGGGGGTGGGGCGAGTGTTTAATGACAAAATACATGTCTTAATACAAAATTCCAGTTATTGTGTCATACATCACAGGAAAGTAGGTTTCTATGGCTCTTTGAATCTACTTGTGTCACCCTTTGATGTTGGCGTACCATTATTTCAAATAATCATACAGGCAACTTGCCAAGCGTACATTATTTATACTAGTGAAATAGTGGACTCGTGTGACGTATTTCACTGTAAAAGCATGTGCGGAGTGTCTGTATATTAAGTTGTTTAATGGTCTCGAGCTTAGAGCATTGCGTAATATATTGTAAAAACACTCGGGCCTCATGGCCCTCTTGGTGTTACAATATATTACTTAATGTCTCGCTCTCGACCATTAAACAATACATATTACACATCTAAATTGGGGCAATACCATAATTCCCTTTATTCAAAGGAATAAATAGAGCCTTAGATATTTATTTTTGATATTGTTTAGTCAGTCTAATTAAAATCTAGTTAAAATCTTTTTTTAAAACTTTTGATGACTTTTACTTCATTTAGATCTGACCATTTTGTGGATGTGTTCACATAGATGAACTTTGATTAAATGACTTAAGTTTTTTGTAATTAAGTTTTATTTTATCCTCGTGTGCTCTGTAGACATCTCCATTAAGTACACACCTCGGCTACAGATTTATTAAACAGATGATTTCATTGGCCAATATCAAAGAAACGAAATGAAATAGTACCATCTGTTTAAGTGAATTACATGTGTAGAAATGTAATAACCAAGCACACACTACTGTTTCTGGCTTTACATTATTTAATCTTCCTTGAGAATTACAATTTATTTTACTTTATGTAGACTACTACAGGTATTGAAATGCTATAATATTTTGTGTTGTTTTTATCTTTCTGTAGGCTCCACACAACCAACTCAGTTTCACGATCCAGTCCAATCAAAAGGCTCTTGAATATTTAAGTGTGAATTCAAATGGTGAAGTGGTATTAATTAAGTCACCAGTTGGAGAACCCAGTTTAGACAGATTAGAAGTAAGTGTTTATCTTGTGTGAGACAATAGCTGAAATCTCTTAACTTAATTCATCCAGATTTTCAGGTGTGGTTTCCCCTTGTCAGTGATGCAGGAGTGAGGGCCTGACAAGGACAGCTGTCTAGTCGTTCGGATGGGACAAAAAAAAGAAGGTCCTGTGTACACATTGGCGTGCACGTAAAAGATCCCTTGACAGTTAGAATTCGATATAAGAGTGGGTCGTAGTGCCGCTGTCCGGGCTAAATTTTCCTTATAGCACACTGTATGGCGTTTGCCTGTCTTCATTATCCCAGTTCGGAGCAGAACAGTAGGACGTTATACCCCATTTCATTTCATTTTATTTCTTAACTTAAAATGACGTAATGCTAGAACTCAGTTCCAATTTATTGTTCATTTTGACATAATTTAATGCCAAATAGTGGTATCCTTGTGTTTTGAACCCTTACGTAGAAGTGTATAAAAGTTGTCTCCCTTATGTTGTGTTGTATTTAGTCTGCCTTTTTGAGTAATAAAATTAGCGATTGGAATTCTAATGTGCAGGCCGGAATGAGATATTTTGTTTTTCACTTTCATGCACATGTGACAGTGTAACACCCCAGGATCCAAGGATTTGAATATAACATTAAGTCAGAAGCCCCAACATTGTACTGACTAGCAAATTTAGGTCCAACAAAAAGATATTAACAAAGAATTTTAATTAAAGCTTTGTATTGTTTTAAATGCGGTGACGTTGTAGCTTCAGAGGTGATCGACAAAAAGTTCATAGAGCATGTTCCTTGAACAGGGTCCACACTTGAGATCAAATGCCAAACACTTCTGAATAATCTAGTAAACTGGTTGGACACATTAGTGTAAAATTCCATTTTTCTGAGGGTCTGCATCTAAACCAATTTATTTCATTCAAATTTAAAATTCAGTAGAAATTGTATGTATATAATATTGTTTAGTGAAATAAACAAAGAAATCGAAAGTATTATGTCCGTTTGAAAAACATTGACCTCCTGTTTGCTATGTTTGTCATTACTAGTAGTATCTTTATACTAACATATAGTTGTAAGAAAAAGATGATAGTTTTGAAATTGAAATTGATATTTTATTGTTTGCATTGTTTTAGGCTGTTGTACAAGTGAGTGATAGAGGTCTCCCAACACCAAAAGTAGCTGCCAGGGCATCATATGTTACTGTTTTAATAGAGAGAAATTCCCAGGATCCTATATTTTTCAACACTGCTTACGTAATTACCATTCCTGAAACATCACCTGTTAACTCACAGGTGATAACAGTTCAAGCCAATGATTCGGATACAAGAGTAAGTAGGGTTTTTATATACTTTTGTCCGGTTTGTAGGTGGGCGGTTGGATGGCCGAATGGTTAGCATGTGCGTTCTGTATCATAAAGCCTGTCATTGAGTCAACTGGCGTGGTTTCGAATCCCCGGTTGTACGTGACAAGGAGTAGGGTCGCATGTCCAACCTCATGGGTTTTCTCAGGGTCCTCCGGTTTCCTCCCACTGATAAAGACCCCTATGCGCAAGCTAGTTATTGAAATAAAAAAACAATGTATGTTTGTCCCAAAATGACCTAGTTTGTGTCAAGTGGATGTTTTTATCCCCATTTCTCTCTCTCTCTCGGTTTGTACGTATATTTAGATAAAGTAATGATGATCTTGTTATGATTTCATCTCATAAAGAATATTTTTAAGAAAAGCGAAATGCAAACATATACTCAACAGGGTTGTAATAAAGCTTGGTATTTGTCCATATGGGTAAGGAGTTTGAAGTGGTGTCAATTACAAATTGATACATTATATGATTGTATGTTTTGGTTTTGTTTTAGCCTGAGTTTAGGACAATAACATATGAATTAGTTGGAGATGACAAAGGTCCCGATTTCTTCCAAGTTACCAGTGGAACAGGTGATATTACAGTTAAAGCTGATTTAACAACAGAAGCTCAGGATAGATATGTAGTAAGTACTATATAATTACTGGAAATATATTCACTTAAACTTTTTGCACCAACAGACTTTATTATTCACTTTTGCATTTTACGCCAACAGACTAAAATTGTTTTTATTTACTTTTGCATTTTACAGACTAAAGATTGTTATTCAATTAGGCTTTTTACACCTAAGGCTATACAATCTGGTTAAAACACAGATCCTATTTCGTTTCGTTTTTATACTTCAAAATTTTGTTTACTACACTTGGATCTGGAAGAGTTGTTATTTAACTCGTGTTCTGAATGGTGTCAGGGATAAGCCAATGCAATGGTCTGTTACGGCGAGCTTTATGCGTGTTCTGCACGGAACTGTGGGTAATCCACTAGTAACATCAATGCTGATTGGTTGATCAAATGTCTGACATCATAGGGTCATAAGTCGGTCTTTTGACCCCTGACGTGACCTATCGCTATAACTTGTCAGATCTTCATGTAGTGTAGGCCATCGTAAGTATAAAAAAAAACGAAACGAAATATAGATCTGTATTTTAATCAGATTGAAGGCTATAAATCTTTATTCACTTTTGCATTTTACACCTACAGACTATCTATCTTTATTCACTTTTGCATTTTGCACTTACAGACTATCTAACTTTATGTATTTTGGCATTTTGTGCCTACAGACTATATGTTATTATGCATTTTGACATTAGATTAATGCTTTTATTTGTTAGCAATTATTTGTGAACGGATTGCTATTTTTAACATGCATGAAAAAATAAATCGTTTTTGATTGTGTTTTCAGTTACGTGTTGTTGCGAAAGATTCATTGACAAATCCAAGATCTGCTACAGCCTTGGTTTTTGTTCTTGTAACAAGAAATTTTCAGCCACCGTCATTTGCTGAGCCAAGTTATTCGATAACGATTGGTGAAGATCGAAGTTTAGCAACATCTTTCATCCAAGTTTCAGCAAGAGATAATGATCGAACGGTATGGGTGATTTCTATATTCTATATTGTCTCATTGAATTTATGAAATGAAGAGTCCAGGAGAAGAACGATCTAAGTCACATTTTTGCCTTTTCGCATAAAAGGTGTGTCGCTAATTTTTCATGTGTTCCAAGATGTGCCATTGCCAAAAAAAGGTTGAGAACCACTGTCTTAAGTCATTGGAGTACACATTGATATTTTTACATAAATTGATGAAGCCATCAGACTATTAAATGTGTTGATGTTTACTGTATGAGTGTATTTTAATGTGGTTAATTATAAACCTTTTAGGAATGAAAAAACGGGCATCATATGTTCGTTATTGAAGTTAATGTTTGGTTTAAAGATACAGGCATCGTATGTTTGTTATTGAAGTTAATGTTTGGTTTAAAGATACAGGCATCGTATGTTTGTTATTGAAGTTAATGTTTGGTTAAATAAGTTTTTTTTCTCTTATCAACAGGCACCTAGCAACACAGTATTCTATGAGTTAACGGGAGATGTTAAAGCTCTTACATACTTTACAATAGATCGTAATAATGGTGGTATTCGTGTTACCAGACCATTATGGATCGATGTTGATAGAACTACTGTATATAATGTAAGTAATAATACCATTTACGGTGTGTAAAATGGAAATGATTAAAGTTATACTTATCAGGGAACCTTTTAAAAAAGTTATTTTGTCAATTTGTACAGCAATATATTCTATAAGATTTGGGGTTTCGTTATTTATTTTATATACTGCATAGAGAAGTACGCTACAGACAGAGTCAGCTCTTTGCAATGATTTGTAAGAAATATTCTTGTCTGTAAGCTACGATTGTTTTATTTTTACTAGTTGAAAGTAAAAGCTGTAGATGGAGGAAGTCCAAGTCAGGAATCAGGTGAAATTGATGTGCGAGTTACTGTATACAGAGACAACTTTTCACCTGAGTTTCAAAGGTTACCGTATGAGCCTACAATAAATGAAGGATTGGTTAATGGAGCAGAAGTTATCCAAGCTACAGCAACAGATGCAGATCCACTTGTAAGTATTATTATTATCATGAATATGGTATTAAAGGAAATGCTTTATCTCTTTCTAAATTTTAAACGTAAGATAACTAATGATGACAGCTACACAAAGCTTTTACAACAATTTTTAGGCATCCTTAATTGAAGAATGCATCAATGACGTCATCATTATGTCTTAAAAGGGTGATTTTTCTATTAAATTAATGAAATTTGTTGTGTCAAATTTACTGCCAGTCGGGTTTCCAGTTGACAAGCTGTTCTAGTGATTCAATCTCTAATTTAGTGTGAGACTTGAATGTATGCACAAAACTAGTTTTAAAAGAAGTTTCTTCAAATTATTATCTACCTATTGTTAGCATATAGAAACACGATGGATCACCTCCTTTGTAAATGGTATTATAAAGGCCTATTACAAGATTACTTTTACACAAACAAATATTCCACAAATCTCACATAATCGCAGATATGGTTGGATAATAACGGTCTTAATTAAAAAATGGTGACTCAACGTATCTATAGTTGTTTTTTTACGTTGCTAAAATCGTATATAACTAGGCTATATGTATGTTTAGACTATCAAAATCTTTAAGAAAACGTCCTCTAAAAATAAACAAATGCTTTTGGAAATGAAATGGGGGTGTTTAACATCCACTTTTCTGCATATTCAGGGGGAATAATGGATTTTACCAATCACAGTGGCTTGAATTAGACTTCATAGTAACAAATAACTTGTTGAAAATTACTCATATCCTGATGTATCATAGACAATAAAATATTTAAATCAGAGTTTTAGTTAGATTTGAGATAGTGTGCAAGCCTGGAAATAAGGCACCTGTCACAGACAATTTCAGGCACAAATTCAGAATTTGTCAGGCACAAAACCTCTGGTGCCTGTCATTTTGTCCGGCGCTGATTTGTCATTTTTATTGATGTTATTAATACATTTTGTCAGATACATCTAAAACCGTTATTTCCAATCCTGATAGTATGGAAATCACACATTTTCGCATATTTATTAATTTCTGGAAATAACCATAACTTTTAGTAATTCCATTACTCTTGTAGGTACCGGCATTTTTATGTAAAACTAAGATTATAATGTGATGATGTAACAACTAAAGCAGTAATAAAACTTTAATATTATTTTAGGACCGTTTTGGAAGAGTAACCTACAGTATAACAGGCCCTCCAGCATCTCTTTCATTATTTACAATTGATAGTAATACTGGACGAATAACAGTTAATAATGGCGGCACTATCAATAGTAGCCCAGATTCAACCTTTAATGTAAGTATGAAAAAAGATTTTGAGATTGATGTAAAGTTGTCTTGGCTGAACAAAGATTATATTGTGTAGGCCTATTACAGGTGTCTTCAAGTAGACCTACGAATGATGAACAGCAAAACAAACATGTCTTAAGGGATAGTTGGTGTAACAACAACAGCTTAGAAATGAAATGAAATGAAATGGGGTTTAACGTCCTACTCAACAGCTTAGAGGACGTCATGTGACATAACAACAGACTTGAATAACCAGTCCCTGTCTTAGACTCTATCAACATCTCACATTACAATAGACCTTTTATGGGTATTAATTAATTTGTAAGAATATTGGTATTTTGCATACTGGGGTTTTACAAAATGTTACTCTTATTTTAGTTTATTATTTAGTACATGTTAATTATTAGTCTATCTCAAACGATACAGATGTGTAGTTTAGTGTTGAAATGTTTTTATATTATATTTTATATAGATTTATGTTCAAGCATCTGATGATGGTACACCACGTAAGCTAGCTACCACAGTTGTCAGTCTCACAATTAACAGAAATCTAAATACTCCAACATTCACTAGACGTGATTATACTGCTACAATTAATGAAAACAGAGCATTAGGAAGTGCTTTTGTCACTGTTGAGGCCACTGATGGTGATTCCAGAGTAAGTTTATTAAACATGTTATTATATTACGATTGTAGTATTTTTTTATTTATATGATAAACATTGAAGGAAGAATAGGGTAGTTAATCATAGGGTAGTTATTTCTAATAGATGTATGACATATTTGATGTATATGGAAAGTAGCTCAAAGACACCAAATCTTACTCGAAAATTACTGTATTTTTCGGGGGAAAAAAATGCAATTGGCATTAACTGCTTGATTGATCTAATGGCTAACGGTTGTGAGAATGTTAAGAGAAACGGTTTGGCTACATTTAAATCCCTTCAGGTCCTCCATAATTACGTAGGGGGATTGGATGGCCGAATGGTTAGCGTGTGCAAGTTGTATCATACGGTCTGTCATTGAGTCAACTGGCAGGGTTTTGATTCCCCAGTTGTACGTGGCAAGGAGTAGGGTCGCCTGTTCAATCTCGTGGGTTTTCTCCGGGTCCTCCGTTTTTTTTCCCACTGCTAAAGATCCCCACGCGCAAGCGAATTATTGAAATAAAATTGAACCATGTGTTAGTCCCGAAATGACCAAGTTTGTGTCGAGTGGACCTTAAACCCCATTTCTCTCTCTCTATTTTTTTATTTATATGATAAACATTTAAGGAAGAATAGGGTAGTTAAACATAGTATAGTTATTTCTAATAAATGTATGACATATTTGGTGTAAATGGAAAGTAGCTCAAAGACACCCAATCTTACTCGAAAATTACTGTATTTCCTGGGGGAAAAAATGCAAGGTTGTCACTAACTGCTTGATTGATCTAATGGCTAACGGATTTGGGAACATTAAGAGACTTGGACATACAGTAGACTCTGTAATTAAATGGAGGAAAAAGAATTTGGCAGAACATAATCAATGAAATCACTTAGTCTTCGATAGCTGTGGTGAATGGACAGCGACTAATGACAAATTCAAGCTTGAAAGGGGATTCTCCCTCAATCAAGTAAATGCTTTGAAATGGATTTGAAGCAAAAATTTTGAAAGATATATTAATTTGAATATGATTTTAGTCTAAATATACCATCAAATCAAATAGTTTGTACACAGGAAGGCATCTTTACCTATTTTTGCTTATTGGGATATATTCTAAAGAAACTGTTTGGCTACATTTGAATCCCTGCAGGTCCTCCATAATTACGTAGGGGGGTTGGATGGCTGAAAGGTTATTGTGTTCATGCTGTATCATAAGGTCTTTCATTGAGTCAACTGGCGTGGTTTCGATTCCCAGGTTGTATGTGACAAGGAGTTGGGTTGCCTGTCCAACCTCGTGGGTTTTCTCTGGGTCCTCCGGTTTCCTCCCACTGCTAAAGACCCCTACGTGCAAGTGAATTATTGAAATAAAAATTGAACCATATGTTAGTCGCGAAATGACCTAGTTTGTGTCGAGTGGACGTTAAACTCTCTCTCTCTCATAATTACGTAAGCGTGCAAATAATGGAGAGAATCAAGTACTGTACTGTTGTTGTTGTTGTCATGGTTATATTCATTTCTCCTTTTTTTTTTACAGGCTCCTAACAATGTTATACGATTTGAGGCAACTGGTAACTCTCGAGCTCTACAATATTTTGATGTCAATGCTGTAACTGGTCAAGTATCAGTTAAACGACCATTGACAGATGATACACTGCCTAGTAATTCAGTTTACACTGTAAGTAAAATATGGTCTGGACTCATATACCAGTCAAAGCACATATTAGTTCTTTATGCAGCAGATTATTCTAAAGTATAATATGTAACTTGCCTGCTGTATTTCCAGTCAAAGCATGTATTAGTTCTTTATGCAGAATATCATTGGATCCTTGAGAATTCTAGAGTATAATATGTAACTTGCCTGCTGTATTTCCAGTGCAGTAGTAGTATCTTGATTGTTTAGCGTCTGCTTCTACAATAGTGTTATCATATAGAAGATGTACCGAAAGCACAAAATGCTCCTGTATATTAGAATATGATTTTGAAATACTTTCATTTGTGGCTTATGGCCATGAATTGGTTTGGTGGACATTTCTTCTTTTCATTATTAAAAAACATA